AGTAGGCGTGAGATTCACTGCGACCGCAACCCTTTCTTGGTCGCAATGTACCCCCAATCATATTTCCTTGTATTTTCAGAACGTGTCGCGCTGCCGTTCTGCGCTGTCCCGGTCCACTCCTCAAACCCCAAGCACCGGTGGCCGGTTGATCCTCTTGCATATTCTGAAACCTCCGCCTTTCTCTCTGCTAGATAAAGAGGTGAAAGTGGCGAGTCTAGGTAGAGAGAGGACTAGGAGGGCCAAGTGCGGCGATGGGAAGTGGAAATTATTAGCCGTGAAGCATGTGGGCCAAGTCGAGTTCGGTTATCGGGTTGCACCAGACACGCCACTCAAAAATAAATATATCAGCCATTTCTATTGACACACGCGAACTAAATGGCCCAAAATTAATTATTATTTCCCTTAATTATTATCTCATCCTTCTAGAAAATATAATACCTACTCCCCCGACTCTCACCCCTTTACCATCCCCCCTCTCTCCCTCTCCTCCTCTCCTCTCCCCCGCTGTTAGTATATTCCCCTACTCGGTATTGCACGACGAGCACAGGGCATCGTATATAGTCGACTAAACCGACCTATCCAGCTGTACATCACCTCTTCACCATGCCACACTCATCCCCCGGTGTCATGCTCCTCTGGAGCGTCCTCTCCTCCATCGAGTTTATGTTTCTCCTCCACCACCTGTGGCGATATGATCGTTTTAGCGTGCGTACTCTCCTTTGCCAATGGCCATTAGGCCCTCCCTAGTTTGTCGGCGCTGACATCGAGATCTGCCCATTCAATAAATTTCTCTCTCCCCCTCTACAGTGCCTACGATGGAACAGCGGGCGACAACCAGGCGCATTCAAACGTGTCATGACCTACTCGTATCTGCTATCTATACCTCTACTCGTCACCTACTCGGTGACCATGGCGGTCATCAAGTACGACGAGGGCTACAAGGACCTATCCGCCTTCCACCTCGGTGTCATCCCAAAACCCTACGCACTCTGGCCAAAGGAATACAAAGCCCTCGTTCTCCCCGCCACCGTCTGCTTTTCCGTCGCCTGGTCGCTCGAAATCGTATCGCACCTCGAAGAGTTGACGTTCTGGCTCTTTTTGTTGCACCAAGGACCCAGTCAACGCGACTGGTTCACGAGTTGGGAGTTTAGGACGTGGGCTTCTGGAGCGGTCTTGGCCGTTGTGGGTATGCCCACCCTTACGGTCTTGTTGAGGGCCGACCCGTACAAGAGCGAGGCGTGGACCTTTTTTGCGGGTGGTGTGGGCTCGTTGATCATCACGCTCTGGTTCTTGGTCGTGCTTTTCAAGTTTCCCAAGTTTTTGAAGAGGGTTAGGAATGAAGGAGCCGAAGCCGAAGTCGTCGTTCGTCTCACCACATTCGACGAGCTCAACGTACGTGCACAAACCTCTTTCTAGCTATTTCTCACCAGCCACTTTAGCGCATTCGAGTTGGGTTCCGATTCTTGTTCGCGGGTCCTCTTCTCGTGTTGGCGATTGATGGTGTTTTGGACAAGGGAAAGCCGATTAACACGAGTCCCTTCTGGACGGACCTCCTTTCCATGATTGCCGGTATTGGATGTGTCGTATCGTCTATTCTCACTCTTTTGGTACGTTACGGCTTCCTTGCTCCCATTAAGGGGAAAGAGGATACCGGTGGGGTGGAACACGGGATGACAGGAGAGGGACGGCGATCGTGTGATGAGGAAAGGAAAGGAACGTACCAAAAGAGTGAGAATAGACGA